CAACTTTATGTCAGTGAGGCCAGGCTAGAGGGAGAGGAGGGGATCCTGGTTGCGCCTCCAAGCTCTGACTCCTTTGCAAGAAAGAATCGAAAAAAACATGCACCAAGTTGGAAACGACTCTCACCAGAGGCCTTGTGAGATACGGCTGACCATGTCCTATGCTGACAGTGGTCAGTCTCTCTCATACGTCAAACTAAGAATTTCCTTTGAGTTAACAGAAGATATTAAAAGATGAAATTAAATATCAAGAAACCTGCAGAGAGGAAGCTGCAAACACCTGCTGCACACTGCAGGCACACCTGAGATGGCACAGCCTTCGCAAGGCCAAACTCTGAATAGAAGCTGTTCAAGGCCCGGGACACCTGCACATGTCTTCGTTCAACTACACTCTTCCTGGGTCTCTGTAACACACCAGGAAGGATGTGGCCAAATATCTGAAGGCCATGCTCCCACTCTCACTTACGCAAGACTTTTAACCTGGAGAGGTTTCCAAAGCTGCTAGAATGACCATGGCAAAGTAACAACAGCTCAAAGCCCCGCTGGGTCAGGGCATGAGAGCACGTGCAAGTAACAGCAGCCAGAGGCTGGGATGCAACGGGCCCAGGGCCTGTCCACACACCTGCCCAACATCTCAAGGTCAGAAGCCCAGGTCAACAGCAGAGTTCACGCTAAGCACACCATTCCCAAAACAAAGGCTTGGGATTTCAATCAAACAATGGAGTAAGAACCAGAGTCAAAAGGAGCATTTCACCTCCTCTCCTCTGAAGGTTCTTGCACCAATCCCTGTCCTCTTTCACCTGCTTTTTCTTCATCCTACTTGAGCAGAAGGCAGACTGGCAGTCTCACAAGGCCAAGCCACCAGGCAAAGTGTCCAAGGACAGAAAACTCCTCCCCAGAAAAGGACAAATAGTGCAGGTTGCCACATGGGCTACCAGGCAAAGACCCAACTGGGTTCAGCCAGTGCTCCGCAGCAGGCTCATCCTCCCATGAGGAACGCACACTGCATTTTCAGAAGTGCACGTCCTGGGACTATATCACAACCCCAAGCAGCTTCCCAGCAACAAGATCCTTTACTATTGGTCAGCTCAGGTGTGCCTTTAAAACTCAGTTATTTCCTTCTCTAAGGCACAACTGAAAGACTTTTTGGTGGCCTTTCTCAACACTCTGGGTAAGCTGATGGCCAGAAGAAAGTTCTAGACGGAACTATTTCTTGACACGAAAAGGTTAGTTCATGTAGGACCAACGGGCCATGTGGAAATGATCACTGGGGGGACCTTACCTCCTCTAGTCATAGGCCCAACTCTACCACCGCTTAGGTTTACTTCTGAAAGAGCAGCTTGAGTAGCAGCCCAAGCAGAGGTCAACGTGCCCTTCTAGGCTCATAGCAGGTAGTCCTCACGGGCCCCTTTGGGCAGAGACAGCAGGAAGTGGATGCACCCAGGGCCATACTGGAGGCATGGTACACACCACCTGGAGACAGGCAAGGAGAGGTCTCCAGCAAAGGTGAAAAGGAAGGTTCCAAGAGCATGACTGTAGCATCAAACCAGACCTCCTGACGGGCTTCAGAGCCCTCTCTTATGCCCTACACCATACTGCCTTACAGCTGGGTTCTAACAGGTTGGCAAGGGGTGGGGCGTGGGGCCAGGGGCCAGGACCCAGGGTCATCTGAGTAGCAGAACCCTGGAGGTGTTGCTGAGTTTTAGGCTTTAGACTTTAATGTGGGGGATTGGAGATGGAGGAGGTGACATCAGAGGGTGAAGGGGAACCTGACCAGACCTGCCGGCAGAGAAGATCACCCCATTAGCAGTGATGGGAAAGGACTCAAGCAGGACGAGAGTGCATCGAAGGCACCTCCGGCTGCTTGAGCGATCTCCACAGAGGTAACAAGAGACTGCCTGAGGATGAGGTGTGGAGAGATTAAAAGGGCCAAACGAACAGCATCTGATGATTGATTGGGCGTGGGTGACGAAGAGCGTGAGAGGGGACCTGCACAACTGAGCAGGGTACTCTTGTGCTCTAGGCAGGGGGCACTTGTAGGCAGGTTTCAGGGTGGGTCAAGATCATGAGATTGTCTCCATATCGTCTCTGCACCAGATCCCCAGATCCCAACACAGCACCTGACCCTAGTGGGCTCATTCACTAACAAAAGCAACACGACCTACTGAGGCTTACTAGTTACCAGGAGGAAACAGCTTGGGGAGTCCAAGTGAGATGCGTGGGGCCTGATGCGCTACTGCTAAGAGCAGAGGTACAACCCAAGACTTGCAGAGACGACGTGTCTGTTTTTTCTAGTGCTAAGAGACACGGAGCCCATGCCAGTTCCATAACAGGCTGGAAACCTAAAGGTCCTCCCAAGCGAGCCCTGAGGTATACATTACTATACATCAAGAAGAAACCGCTTCCAACCACCTGCTCTCAGAAAGTTCTACAGGTAAGAACTGGAGGGAGAGGAGTCTGCCCTCCCGCCAGTGTCTGCAATGCATGTTTACACCTTCAGGGAATTTAGAAGGCATCACTTGTAGCCCAAGCCAGGTGAAAAAAGTTACACAACATGCGGCTATTACAGTGTATCACACGCTTTAAAGAAGTATCAACTCTGTTTCCCAACATACTTCACATGAGAAACAGAGTTACAAGAAAAAGTGCACTGTAACAACTCCCAACGCCTAGCAATTGTGGTTATTCGTAGGACTCTACTGCATGTAACAACCCTCATACCCCGGCAAATCCTTCTTTTTTAAATTGGGGGGAAAAAAATCGTGCAAGGAAAATTTATCGTTTAAGTCTTAAAATACTGACATACAACCCACACATAAATTATTTCCAGACGCTCAGAAAAGCCCAAAATGGCCAAAGAGCTGCGTCAACAGCATCACACCTGAACAGCCTCACCTGGGGCAATTCCAACCCCACACACACCACCTTTGCTTTCATTCCTTGCCGTCTGTAGGTGCACTAAAAATAAGTAGAGCCTCTAATTCCCTCCAGGCGGATGTGGAAGTATTTAAAATAATAATGGCATCTTCCAAAGAATAGATATATATGACATATCTGTTTTTTTCTTTGAATTAAGCCAATATGTATATACTATACTTATGTTAACTGCAGCACGAAATTAAAGCACACAACCCCCCCCCCAAATGAATCACCTCTAAATTGACAGTTAAATTTTTGTTTTAAATGAAATAAAAACGGTTAATATTTACCTTCGACGTGATCTGAGTTCCTGGTAATGCTAAATTATTCTGCAACTTAACTTAATGAAACTCCACACTTATCTACGCCCCACTTTAACAAGGGGTTCCTCACTTGCCCGGAGGCGGGGTGCAGGGGGAGAGTCGATTTCCCTTTCCAGTCTCAAGAGTAAAAAAGACAAATACCTACAGGTCCTATTCAGCAGCCCCTTTCTTGCATTGTTACTTGCAGGATCTGGGCAAGTCACTCCATTATAAAGGAGTTTCATATTAGCAAGAAAAAAAAAAAAAAACAAAAAAACTTTCAGAGCAGAGTCGGGCCTTGGCCTTCAACATGCATCCTCCAAAAGAAGCCAGGGCGCCTGTAACTGGTGTCTGCAACGCGGGCGCCGGCCAGGACCATGGTCCCCGCCCCCCCCCCCCCGCGGCCGCCCCGTGCACTCACCCCTGGATGCCGGGGCTGTACGCGCGGCTCTTCCACGGGGTGCCCGGCCGCGGCGCCTGGGCCCCGGGGCCGCCCCCTCCGCTGAGAGCAGCCGCGCGGCTGCCGGACAGCAGGTAGTTGAGGCCGTAGGTGCTGGCCTTGTTCTCGCGTTTCCGGCGACCCGGGTGGAACTGGTGCTGCGACGCGGAGCCAGCGGGCGCGGGGCCGCGCGGCCCGGGGTGCCCGTTGGCTGTGCCGGGGGCGCTGGGCGCGCCGTCGGCGAAGTTGAAGAAGGAACCGCCGCGGCCGCCGCCCGGCCGGCCCAGCGAGGCGCTGCTGGAGGACGACGACGAGCAGCCGGGGCTCTCGGTGCCCGACTCCGCGTTGGACGAGGACGACGACGAGGACGACAGCGACGGAGACTTGTGCAGGCGCCGCGCGCCCTCGGCCGCGGGCCCCAGCGCCGTCAGCAACGCGGGGGGCAGCGCGGCGGGCGCGGCGGGGCCAGGAGGCGGGGGCGACGCGGCGGGCAGCGCGGGGCCCAGGCCGCCACCGCCCCGCCCGGCCGCCCCCGCCGCGGCCGCCGTGTCCAGCGCCGGCGAGTTGAGGCAGAAGTAGGACGCGAAGCCCGAGCCGCCGCGGCCCACGCCCTGCGAGGTCTCCCAGATCTGCATCCACAGGGCATTGGCCGGCCCCTTCTGCTCGGGCTGGATCCAGGCCACGCGCGGATCCATCCACGCGCCGCCCCCGCGGGGCCCGCGCGCCCGCCCGCCCCGACGCGGCCCCGCCCCCGCCGCGCCCCGAGGCCCGGCCGCGCGCGCACGGACGGACGGACGGACGGGCCTGGGCTGGCGGCGGCGGGCGGGCCGAGCCCCCGGCCTCCTGCTCGAGCCGCGCTCCCGTCGGGCTCCGGCGTGGGGCGGCGGCGGCGGTGATGGGCCCGGGCAGGCCGCGGCGGGCGGCTCCGGCGCTTGGCGCGTCCCAGCGGGCGGCTGCGGTCTCGGGGCTCCCGCTTCACGCGGCGCGGGGCGGGCGCGGGGGCCGCGGCGGCGGCGGCGTTCCACTCGGGCCGCGGGGAGAGGCCATCGGAGAGGGGCGGGCGGCGGGGCCGAGGGGGCGGGCCCAGGCGCCGCGCGGCTGAGGGACCCGCGGGAGGCGCCGCCGCCCGTGCGCCCAGCCCTCAGTCACGCTCGCGCCGCTGGCTCCGCGTTCCTGCGGCGGCGGCGGCGGTGAAAAGACACTCTCGGCGGCGACAGCGCGGGGGAAGGAGGGGGCCGCCGCCGCCTCCGCTCCAATGAGGGGCGGGGGAGGGGGCGGGGACGGGGGCGGCAGGAGGAAGCGCGGCCTCGGTCGCCGGGCCGCGTCGCCAGTGCGCACGCGCGGCCGATTTCAAATACTCACTAGACACCGCCGCCGTGGTTACCGCGCCTGCGCGTTGGGGTCCTTCGGCCGCGGGCGGGGTGAGGTCGGCGTCAGAAGCTACGCGACTGGGAGGGGCTGGAGGGAGCAGCGGCGGCGTTGAGCCCTTCCAGACTAGGCCGGGGTTGGGAGGAACAGGCAGCCGCTGGAAGGCCCGCACGCCGCCCTTGGCCCGCCGCGGCGTGCAGACCTGGGCGTGCAGACATGCGCGCTAGGGCTGGTGTCGCCGGGCTGCCGCCAGTGCTGCGCTGCGCGTGCGCAGGGGCGCATGGCGGTCACCGCCAGCGGTGGAAGTTTCCGCGCAGCCAGGCGAGGGCCGCGGACGACACCGCTAGGCGCCTCCCCCAGCCGGCGGGCCCTGTCTCCTGACGCAAGGGCCGGCCTGGGTCACAGATCCCGCCGCAGGCTTCTCATTTGAGGGGCCGTGCAGCAGTTCACGCTGCGCTCTCCGGGGTCCGCGCGCCGGCCCACGTGCTCCCTGCACCTCGCTGGGTGAGCGGCCCACGTGCAGTGCCCGGTGACTGGCTCCGCCGCTCCGGAGCCGGGAAGGACGGGCGGCGGAGTCCTGCTCTCTAGCGGGTCTGCTTACAGGCGTTTGGTTTTCTTTTTTAAATGATTTTTTGTGTGAAAAGTGAAGTGAAAACGTCCAAGTTAATTCCCTGGGCAAAATGGGCAGTGCTAGCCGAGGAATGGCTCGTGGGCGGCGCGTCCGGCCCCCGGCTTCGATTTTTCCAGCTGCACGGAGCAGACAGGAGTCGGTAGGAAACCGCCCGCCATCCACAGCCTGCTGTTTGTCATCCCGGTGTTCCGAGCGCGATGGAAGCCGAGTTGACAATGGCACTGGAATACAGCGTCAACCACACATCCTGTGAGGTCCAAAGCAAACGCCAGTGTCGTTGATCATCGCGGTGCCCCGCGAGCCTGGGCGACGTGAGGCCCCGCGGCTGCCGCCCTGTCTTCAGGGGGAGTCTCCGCAAATGCACTCCCGGGCCAGGGCCCTGAAACCGCCTTAGCCCAGTGGCGCCCGGGCTCCAAGCCTTTTAAGTAGAACCATACTACCGGCGTGTTGTAAATGCTACCCCCTCGTCTCCAGCACAGATCAGTAGACATTACTAAGCACTTGACCCTCCAAACATCGCTCCAACAGGAAAGGTACGTGTGTTGCATACAAAGGCTTTGGGGCAAGTGGGGGTGTTTAATAATAAAAATGAATGTTTCAGACGTTTTCAAGTACCTGCGTATTGTACATGTAGAAATCATGGCGAAGGATTAGAACGTGCATTCAGTAAACTACAGAAAATCACAGACAAGTCAAACAGCCGTTATTCGGGAGCTCTTTGCTTCCCAATGGCTCAGTCCAAAATCCTTGGTCATGCCTGGCTCCTCTCGCTGTCCACAATGAACACATACTCTTGGCTCCACTGCCAGAAACATCCAGAACCCGACTGCTACCCCTCCTCCTCCCTCCACCCCTCTTTACGCCCTTTCCCAGCACCTGTCCAATTTAAAGCAGTGCCTTCTAGCTGGTTTCCCACTTTCTGCCCAGCTGCTTGTGTGATCCTTTTTTTAAAAAAAAAAGATGTTACTATTAAAAATCAGGTCATGCTACTCTTAGAATACTATGCAGCCGTAAAAAGGAATGAGATCATGTCCTTTGCTGGGACATGGATGAAGCTGGAAGCCACTATTCTCAGCAAACTAACACAGAAACAGAAAAACCAAACACCGCATGTTCTCAGTAATACGTGGGAGCTGAACAATGAGAACACATGGACACAGGGAAGGGAACAACACACCCTGGGACCTGTGGGGGGTTGGGGGAAGGGAGAGTATCAGGGTAAATAGTTAATGCATGTAGGGCTTATTGCCTAGGTAAGGGGTTGACAATTGCAGCAAACCACCATGGCACACATTTACCTGTATAGCAAACCTGCATGTCTTGCATGTGTATCCCAGAACTTAAAATTTTAAAAAAATCACTTCATGCCACTCTGCTGCTCAAAACCCTCCAGTGGCTTGCTTTCTCACTCAGCAAAATGGAACAACCTTGCTATGACCTGCAAGTCCCTTATCCCCCGGTCCTTCCCCTCTTCCCCCGACCTCACCTCCCAGCGCTTTCCCTAACCCAAACTATAGCAGCCAAAATCACAGCTGGCACCCTCCTGCCTCAGGGCCTTTGCACTTACTGTTCCATCTGCCTGGCGTGCTTTCCCCCCTCCCCATCTTAGGACGTCCGAATGGCTCTTTAGTCTAAAATGTAAACATAACCCTCAGCAGCCCCTGTTCCCCATTCGCTTTTTCTCCATTAGTTTCCTGGAGCTGTGTAACAAAATATCACAGACTGGGTGGCTTAAAACAAGTGCATCATGCTCTCACAGTCCTAGAGGCTGAACGTCCAAAATCAAGTTTGAGGCCGTGTGTCCTCCGAAGGTTGTAAGGGAGTCTACCCCATGCTCTCCTCTCAGCTTCTCGTGTTGCTGGCAAACCATGGCATTCCTTGGCTTGTTGGTGCGTCACCCAACTCTCTGACATGTCATCACATGATGTTTCCGTGTGTCATTGGCTTGTAGATGCATCACTCTGTCATCATCATCGCATGGCATTTTCCCTGTGTCCGTGTCTCTTCTAGAAAGACACCAGTGGCATTGGATTAGGGTCCCCCTTGTGTCTTCCTCCTAACCTAATTACATCTGCAAAGAGTTTCCAAATAAGGTCATATTCGCAAGCACCCAGGGTTAGGACTTGAACATATCTTTTTGGGGGATACTATACCACCTCGTTTATATTTTATCGCATTTATCATCTGTGTCCCCCACCCCATTAGAATGCATGCTCCATGAAGAGAGGATAGGAATGGCCTGTCCCTGCTGTGCACCAGCTCAAGGATTGTCTGACACATCAGTCCTCGGTGAACATTGGCAGAATGACTGGAAGCTGATTGATTGGCCCAGCAGGAATGGACACGTGCAGTTGCCCTTGTCCAGCTTCCAGGATCTGTTACACAGGTTGTCATTGTTTAGGTACTTTAAGTTTTTCTTGATTGCCTCATACTCTGTCTTAGCAGTTTGCCTCTAGCTAATCCTCCTTAATTTGGTTCACCAGCCACCAAACAACATTTTGTAATTAAAGCCGAGGTTTTGTTATTTATATGATTATAAATATTTTTATGTAAATTAAAAACAGTATACACACACATATATATATATTTAGAAAGAAAGAGAGAGAGAGACTCACTCTGTCACCCAGGATCAAGTGCAGTAATGCAATCCTGGCTCACTGCAACTTTCGCCTCCAGAGTTCAAGCGATTCTCGTGCCTCAGCCTCCTGAGTAGCTGGGGTTACAGGTGTGTGCCACCGCAGCTGGCTAATGTTTGTGTTTTTAGTAGAGATGGGGTTTCACCGTGTTGGCCAGGCTAGTCTTCAACCCCTGACCTCCAGTGATCCACCCCCCTCAGCCTCCCAAAATTCTGGGATTACAGGCATAAGCCACTGTGCCCGGCTGCAGTATATTTCTTAATGCAATCAAGAAACAATACTGAATGTAAAATGCAGTTTTTGAGATGCTGGGCGAGGGAGATCTTTCTCTTTATCAATTTCTACAGATAAGTGCAGCCCATTCTCCTTTTGGGCCGAAACCCTCTCCTCGCTCTCTTCTGATATTGGAGGAGGAATAATATTAGAAATTACACAATGGTTTTATTGATTTGTTCCCATGAAAAAAATGGTTTACAAAGTGTATTCCATGGACTACCCATGCCAGAATTAGCAATGCTGGTCAAAATGCAGATACCTGGAGCTCACCCAATCTACTGACACTATCTAGGAGCAAGCCCAGGAATCTCTATTTTAAGTAAATTTTCTGAGTAATTCTAAAACACAGTGAAGTTTGAAAACCTCTACCTAAACCAGGGAGCCCAAATTCAATTGCTCACAGGTGCCAAATAACTGAAAGTGTGTAGGTATTAATCAGCTACCGCTGGGTAAGAAACCACCCCAAGCTTAGTGGCTTAAAATAAGTGTTTGGTATTGCTCACAAGACTACAAATCAACTAAGTGGTTTTGCTGCTCTGGGTCAAACACAGCTGATCTTGCTCCACTCAGCTGGCCGATCAGCTGAAGACTGGCTGAGCTAGAGTAGCCTGGCTGGCAGCTGGGACACCAGAGTTGACAGAGTTGACAAGGACCATCAGTCTCTTGTTATCCAGCAGGCTGACTCAGGCTTGTTCTCAGGTGGCTGAACAGGGTTTCAGGAATGCAAATAGACAGGCATGAGGCTCAGAACTGGCATGCCATCATTTCCTTACCATTCTGTGAGCCAAAGCAAGTGGCAAGGCCTTGACAAGTCAACGAGTGGGAAAGAAGCCTCCACCTCTTGGTGGAAGGAGCTGCATCACATTGCAAGGGGCGTGGGGCACTGGAAGGGGGAGAATGAGGAGGCTGAATTATGCTAACCTCTACGTTATCACATGACATCCTCCCCTGTGCATCTCTCTATGCCTTCTCTTCTTGTAAGGACATCAGTTATTGGATTTGGGACCCACTCTAAATTCAGGATGATTTCATCTGAAGATTCTTAACTAATTATACCTCCAAAGACCCTATTTCCAAATAAGGTCTTGTTCTGACATTCTGAGGACACTAGGAGGTTGCATAGTGTCCTCCCAAAATTCACCCAGAATTTTGGGAAGACCACTGTGCAATCTACTCCAGAGACTTAAATAAAACAAGAAAGTTATTTTGCTCCCGTAATAAGAAATCCAGCAAGAGAGGGCCATTGGCATGGTGGCCCAGTGCCCCAGGATGTCTGAGCTGACCTGTCTGACATTTCCCTGGGCCTTTACCTGATGGCTGCTCTGGCTCCAGCTCTCATGTCCAGAGGAAGGAGGTAGGGGAAGAAGGACAGTGTCTGCTGTCTATGACCCTTTGTATCAGAAAAGCAAACTTTTTCCAAGAAACCTCATGTTAGATTTGTCCTCAAATCTTGTTGATTAGAGCTGGTTATAAGGCCACCCAGACTGCAAGAGAGTCTGAGAAATTGAGACACAGGATGAGACACAGAATGATCATGAATGACCTAAACCAGTCATGAGTATTGTTCATGCTGGACTTATGACCATGTTGAAAGAAACTGGGTCTGTTAGTAGAGAAGCAGGACGTGGGTCTCATATCAAGCCAATGTCTGCCACCCACAATCTCATCTGAATTCAGTCCATACAAGTCTGTTTCTGAGAGCCTGCAAAGACCCTGTTTCCAAATAAGGTCTTGTTCTGAGGTTCTGGGTGAATGTGAATTTTGGGAGGACACTTTTTGGCCTACTACAGAGACTTGAATGTTCTGATGAAATCCAGTTTTCAACCTTGAATAGAACAGCCCCACCAAGAGAATACAACCCACAAGAAATGCCTCTTCTTCCCAACTACTCTAGAGCAGGATTGTCAACCAGAGCTGACTGTGTCTCCCAGGGGACATGTGGCCATGTCTGGAGACAACTTCGGATTGTCACGACTGGGGTAGTTGCTGGGCCCTGGCGTCAAGCACACACAGATGACAAATTCCATCTCTGAGTGAGGGCCCAAAGAAGCTCCCAGCTCAACAAACGGAGATGTGTGTGATGTACACGTGTGTGCAGGGTACCAGTGGGAGACAGGGCCAGGGAACCCAGAGGTGTTGCCGGACTGATCCTAGAAGATGCAGAGTATTAGCCTAACAGAGGAAGGACATTCCAGGATGAGAAATGGCCAGAGACACAGCCCTGAGGACAGAAATTCCCCAGGGCTCTCAGTGGCCAGGGCCTGAGCATGGCAGCAGAAATCCAATGTGAGGCTGTTGGCCAAGGCCAGGCACAGGAAGGGTGTGCCATGTGACAGCCCTTTTGGGGGTACCATTAAAAGATGTACCCTAAAGAGGCGTATGGTCTGACATGCATTTTAAGAAAAATTCACTTTGTCTTAACAGATGGAATTATGAGAGGGCACGATTGAAGATGGAGGTAAAGGTTAGGGGGATGGCCTATTGAGAGAAATAGAAAATCAGTAATGGGCACAGTATTAGGTATGGAAAGGATTGTTTAGGAGAAAATAAATTAGGGTCAGTCATTGTTGCTGTAAGAAACGATCTCAAATCAGGGTGGCATGACATGTTAAGAGTTTATCAGAGTGGTATGACATGTTAAGAGTTTATTTCTTATTCACTTCCCAGTCCACCACATGGAGCCTGGGGTATGGGGAAGGAGAACTCTGCTCCACACAGTCATTCAGGGATCCTGGCTCTTTCATGCAGAAGTTCTGCTGTTCTCTTGGGCCCTGGAGTTTTCAGCTAGTTCTCTGCAGAGGGCCAGCAAAGGGGTGAGAGGAAGAAATAGGATGGAACATACTGCAGGAGGTTTAGGGTCCAGGTCTGGGGGTGGCCAGCATATCACTCACACGCATGTCTTGGTGGTCAGAACTCAGATATGTGGCCCCATCTAACTTGAGGGAGGCTGGAATATATAGTCCAGCTGAGAGCCCCAAACACAAAGGAACTGGGTCTGGCAAACACACCACACTGACTTTGCCACAACATGTATAGGAGGTAAAATCTTTGGGGTTCTGTAATTGATTCAATGTGGAGGAAGGAGAGAGGAAAGATCAGAGAGCTTCCAGGTTTCCACCAAGGAGGTCGGAACAGGATGCCTTAGATGTGAACACAGGAGCCACTGCCGGAGCAAGTAAGATGGTGCGTTCGTTTTAAAATCACTGTGTAGCTTAACACTCACTGCCTGTTTTAATATGTGTCCTGCATTCCAGTTACTGGAGAAATGTTTCCTTTTCTTTATTTTTTTAAATGAATATAATTTACAATGTAAAAGGTCAAATAACATGAAAGTGAAACAGAAAAACCCTCACTTTTCAATATTCCTTTCTCATCTAATGAAGACCCCTTCCCTTCTCTGTTTCTCCTGGCTCCCTGCCTTGGGCCTAAAGCAGCAACAAGAAGCTTTCCTGGGTGTTTACATTACAACACACCAGACTGCAGGCACCGCCACCGCAGACACTGCCTGCAGCTAAACTCACCAAGTTTTCCATGCCCCCTAACTGAGGTCACTGGCAGCCCAGCACCAAGCCTCACTGTCACCAAGGGCAATGGGTTAGTAAGCATGGCTCCGCACAGGTAAGCAGTTCTAGGAAATGGAAAGAAACCCAGACCATCCGTCTCAGGGGAAGTTTGCTGGATTTTCTCTCTGTTTTAAGAGTCTTTCAACAGGGCATATTCTCAAATTTAGATTTCTGTTTTTGTTAAGAACAGTGGCTGTGGAACCAATTCACCTGACTGCCGTCATTCTGCCATTTCCTAGCTGTGTGGCCTCAGGCAAACTGATTAAACTTGCTGGCCTCAGAATGGGGAAAATTGTTGTAACTCATGCTTGGGATTATGTGAAGATGAAAGGCAGGCATGGCCATGAAGTGCTTACAAGAGTGACCGGTGCGGTGTACCTATTCTGTGCGTCCTACCTGTCCGCTGTTACTTCTCCGTGATTCTTAAAGGAGCTGGAGTTTTCTTTCAGTCTTCTGCTTCTCCCATTGCTTCCTCTAACTGAAGAAAGACTCAGTCCGTGGCTCTGCTCCATGCCTTCTGCTCTTGGTTCGGGCTCCAACTTCCCCATTAATGGAAGAGAATGGCTCTCCTGCTCCCGCTCTAATGAGCTAATTAATTTTTCTATTTCTCTAATCATTCTCTATTCCCTGCCAAACCCTCTGGGTGTCTGTTTTGTTCTATTGTTCAAGCCCGGACTTTGAGGGTAGGCTAGGGGCATCGCTAGTCCCCATAATTGCTAATCCAGGCACTTGAGTCATTATCTTCTACACATGACACTTAACAACCAGAGGGAAGCGCAGCCTCGTGGGCCTCAGAAAGGAAACCACCCACAGACTTGTGCGCCTTCATCGCAGGCCGGGCCCTCCTTCCCCCATGGTAAGAAAGTGAAGACTTGGAGATTTGTGAGTCAAGCGATCAAGGTCAAATTGACATACTCTAGAAGATTACATGCCATGTGGAACAGTACCGGGCAGGGGACCCATTGGGACAGGGGCTCAGTTAGGAGGCTATGGCAGTCCCGCAGGAGATTCTGGAGGTGGGGGTTGAATGGGGAGCAGCATGGATTTGAATGC